TGTGGAATAAAAAAAAGTTCTTTCCCACGAAATGACATCAATATAATCAAATTGATTTAGAAACAGCTTCAGTTAAAATGGTATGCTCTTTTTTACTTAGATGAGGTTTTAGTCTTACACAAATCTATGTTATGCTGTCTGGGTACTTGGATACCACAGTGTAGCTAATACCACTTAGCTGCAACACGAACAACAACAGCAAGAAAGGACTTGCTGTTCAGTGGTTTCTTTGCAGCCAGACATTGAAGGAAATCTCTGTATGTTTGGAGGAAAGAGTGACTTGTTTCCCCTGGACATGATATACACCAGATACGCTACCTGAGAAGACAGTGGAGAAAAATTTATTTTGAAAAATGTATGTAGACCCTACTCTGAGAGTTCACCGACTACAGAATTCTGACTGAAGAGAATGGAAATTCAGCAAGTAAGTTCAGTGTACATCTATTATGAGTGCTTTACAGTTACTACTGAATTTCAGATGAAGACATCAAAAGCCATTTGAAATCTGACAAATGTAATATGTAATTTAAAAATCAACTTAATGAAGGGTTAAAACCACTGTAAGACCTAAACCATAAATCTGGTGAGAATGATGTCAGAGTCAGGACACAGTAGTTTTTAGAGATCCTCAATTGGGGTTTTTCACTCATAACTAAAAAAAATAAACTTACCTTTGAATTTCAGGGTTTTATAAGAGTTCTTATGCAGTAATTACCAGATCTTGTCATGGTTACATTATAGGTGAATTTTGAGTCAATGTAAGTTTGAGAGTAAAGCAGAATTAAAATACATTTGAAAAGAGGTTATCACAGTTTATTTGCATCTGTGTTTCCTGTCTAAAGTAACAGAATGAAACTATTTTGTAATGCACCTTCACATGGAAATGATTTAAGGTGAATCAGCAGTACTAGTAACATGTAGGATATCCTGTCCATCTAAGGCATGCTAAATAAACTGGTAAAAGGTCTCGGTTCTACATACTAAACTTATAGTAGAATTTTGATAATGCCTGTGTGAAAAAACATACGCAAATATATAACCTAAACTTTCTCTTTCCAGTTTGGTGTTGGGATTCACTAATCACAGCAACTAATGTATAAACTAATATAAACATGAAAGATTCAAATCCGCTTTACAAATATTATGCATTTGAATGTTATACTTTTTATCACTGTGAATTTGACATGCATTCACTGATGAAATATGGTCATCCCAGATGAAAGAAACAATAAAAATATTATAGCATCCTGCAACGTATCAATTAGGCTATAGGAAGCTTAGACAGTATTAAGAATGTTTGGACGGAGTTACATATTTTTATTTTAAATAATAGAGTTTCATTCTTTTCCCATTTCAGAAGTCATGAGAAATTAATTACATGAGAAAATGCAGATAGCTTTTAGGGGTCCTTACTACATGCAGAAGACCAAAAATAACTTTTCTTTAGCTAAATTTGTTATTTGAATCTAAAGACCTGCAAAGAATGAAAGTAAATTTTGTGCCAAATAACAAAGGAAAAAACTGCTCTGTAGTGTATAATGTTCCCATTTCTAGTCTTGCAATCATAAGATTTGAGCTTTAAATAGTGAGGCTCACTCTTATTTAAGCATTCATATTCAGTTTCAGTTTCAATCTGATATTCATAATTTGAATCAAAGTTCAATGTCGAGAATTACTCTCTATTTCTGTCCTTTGTTGTACAAAATAGTATGTGTACTTATACTCTTATTTTCAGATTCTTCATCATTAGGGTTTGATAAAGACTTTGCTCTTGCTCTTTCCCTCCCTTCCTCCCTCCCTCCCTCCCTCCCTCTCATTCTTATTGTTTTCTTCTTCTGTCTTCTGAGGACCTTTTGACAGTGTGACTGATAAGTCTTTTTACAAATACACGTTTATAAATAGAAAAATCAGTCATTATTGGGATACTTATTTCATGTTTTGTTAGTCTAAAACTGATGATATCTTTAGTTTCATTTTCCTCAACTTTGATTGCAATTTTTTCCAGAAGAGTAATAACTTAGCATGATCTTCCTTTTAAAATATCAAAAGATCTGGAATGTTGCCTGTATTTTTGCAATCCTTGCTCTGGGCTTTTTTTTCTTGATCAGTGACTATAGAGTGTCCCCCTTTTCTTAGATAGATCTTTTTATGTATATAGATATTTAGTTATTTTTTACCTTTCTTAAACCTCAAGGTTATTTAATTCTTCAGTCTGGAAGAGCTGTTTCATAATTCTACTACTACTCATCTCTTTTTTGCAAAAAACACGTCATTGTTCTCTTCCTCTGTGTACTGAATAATTTAAAAATACTAGCTCACATCTTGAACAGTTCTGCATATATTTACAAGCTTTTCTTATCACTTTTCTACAGCATTTCATGCTAAACAGATCATTTCTGTACTATCTTACTAGGCTGTTCTGTAATGTTGATCCCTTTATTTTTTCCCTCAAAACCAGCTGGTTTTCAGTTTGAAGTATGAAGGCTTTCTTCTTCATAGCATGAGTGCAGGGTAGAAGTACACGGTATTTGTGCTGCTATGCCATCTGTGTGATTTTGCTGAAATAAGTATAGGTCACTGATAAATCCCAGAAAATGTGAAGTGTTGTGCCACTTAAAGTAACAAGTCCTGCGATGTCTTTTGTATGATTTCTCTCTTCTTTTTACCTCTGACAGATCTTTGCGAGTGACTTTTCTTATCACTTTAAATTCAAGGACTGTCTTACTTTCAAAAATCAGGAAACTCATAGTAGGGCTTTTGCTTTTTTTTTTTTTTTTTTTTTACCAAAAATAACAGTTGATCAATGACTTTGGTCGCCCCTTTTAACACTGATAAGAAGTAAAATCTCATTAAAGATTTAAGTCACAGTGATCTTGCAACACCAACTACTGTGGCCAAATAAGTAACCATTTCCAAAGACTGATCTGTGTAATTCTTAAATGAAACTCACTGGAGTTTCTGTCCATGCAAATGCATGACAACAACATTATTCCTTCACCGGATACAGGCTGGGGAACTGCAGTCTCATTCCGCACACAGTATGTCCTAACTGCCATCATATACTTTCACAAGCATCAGTTAATATAATATGCTATAACTTTTTTCCTATTACTTAGAGAAGCGAGGTTTGTTACAGTTTGTGTTCTGTGTTATGCACCTGTAAGTTAATATGAGAAGGTTCACAAAACTTAATTTCCAAACTACCCATTTTTCACGATAGTCTAACTCAGTTATTTTAGGGTGGAAAGTATCCAGACAAATTAAAGGTTTTCATGTCATGATTTTTAAAAGCCAAAAGTGCATACTGTCATTTAAATTGAACTGTATATGCTATGTCTAATTGGTTGTGTCATATAAATGCATTGTAAATTATTCTTGAATGAATGCTGTCATCTTCTGATAGAACACACATAACTATTGTTGATGTGGGGCGCTACAGAGTCTTCTGTGTACATCCTGTAGGAGATGTTAATGTACAGTATCTTTTATAAACAGGCCTCTTTTTGTTTCTGTTAGAAGAAGGAGCTGACTCAAAGAATCTGATAGTCTTCCAAAGAAAACATCTGTTTTAAATATATTTGTTTGGATTCCAGTCAGCACACCTAGGACTTGCATAATTAGGTTAGACTACACAGTTCCCTTTTCAGAAGATATGTTTATATAAATAAGCCATGCATTTTTCATGAAGCAAATACTCCTCCCTTTTTTTTAATTAGAAATTCCAGCTTGTATTTTAACATATACTTTTGCGAAGTATAATTTAACATAATCTTTTGCAAAGACTAATTGAGAAACTTTTTTCAACACAATTTTTTATGACATTTATTTTACTGTATTTTGTATTGTGGAGAAGTGTCTTGCAACCATCTTATCAGTATTTCAGTAAATGAGTGCATACCTTTATAAAGATGCTTTTGATACCAGTAACTGATCATTTACTAAATAAAATGTGAATTTTATACCTTTTACGACTTTTGATACTGCATATTCCTTTAAATGTACATAGTAGACTTTTTAAAAATGAATTATGGTGGTAACTGTCTTAAGTTTACCCTTCCTAAAGATCTGATTAACTAAAAATACATAAACTACAGTGTTTATTTCATCTTAAGCAGCTCCTTAGAAGAGACAAGAAGAAATGGAATCTCAGTAGTGGTCCTTTCTCCATTGATCTCGTGCTATGCCACACCACATGATTCCACTGAACCAGAATCTCTTATCATACAGCTGCGCAACATTAAAAGAATTCTTTTCTAAAACTGGATTAATGATTATGCATACCTTTGGTATTAAGATCAAACCTCTCGAATGTTCAGACAGTCATATTTGGGAATGAAATCCTTTACTCTGGGACAAATTCAGCCTGGAGTGACAATTTCATAATACATATTGCAGGTGTGCCTTATTATAGAAGGGCTGAAGTTGGTATTTCATGCATAAAAGTAGCTTCTAGGCCATTTTTTGCAGTTCATACAATCCAGACAAAACTGTTCCTAATCTGACCTGGTATTCTTTATATCACCTCTGATTTCAGCTCAGTTCTAGATCTGTGGAAACAAGAGTCACACCTGTGTTGAGTGTTTTCATCTGGGGCAACATCAGTTGGTTCTGAATGATCTCGAAGCCCCGTTCATGCTCTCACTGTACAGAACGATGTCTTGTGTGAGAAGTGCAGTCGAACATTTGGTTGGAGTTTTTGCTTTTTGTTGCCATTTTCAGAAGTCCTCAAGCATAGACTGGGTGAAGAATGCTATCAATGATTCAATGTGTTCCTTCTACCTGTGCATGTGATTGACTGAGTGAAGTTGGCTAAGTGTCCCTGTCTCTAGTCGTGGGGAGTTTTAGTCTGAAATTAATTCATAGTAATTATTTATATTTTTCAAAAGCAGTTGTATACAATAGTGCTAAGTACTAAGGAGACAATAAAGTTGACTGTTGACTTCCTTTCAATGTAACTTAAGTGATAGTAATACAGATTTTGGTTGTTTGATGTTCCGTAGGTGTTTACTCTGTTATGGATTGCTGACTGGATGGTACACCACTTCTGGAAAAAAGGAAAAGATCCTGACAGTTTTTCTATACCTTATCTTACTGCACTGGGAGATCTGCTTGGAACTGCCTTATTAGCTATAGGTTTTCATTTTCTGTGGCTGATAGGTGACAGAGATGGCGATGTCGGAGACTAGTTATTCCAATGGATGCAATGACTTTTCCTGGAATATTGACAAGACCGATCATTCCTCTTGAAGGTCCTCAAAGTGGTTGTTCCATTTGGTATAAGTAAATCAAGTTGACACAGATATAAAACAGCCTTAATGATTTTAGTTTGGTTTGTTTTTTAAGAAATAGTATGGAACTGGGAGGATACTTGAGACCTTTACTCTGAAAACAGGTGGATTGCTGCTAGTTGAAAACATCTGAGTAGACACAATGAAGGGCAGATCAATCCTTTATCAAGTTTTAAATTTTTAAAAGATCTAGTCTTTTAAAAGAACAGTTCCTTACCTGTATTGCGAACCAGAACAATCTCTAATTGCTCATTCAGTGGTGACGAAGAAGAGGGTAAGACCCAATCAGTGGCTTGCTTTGTCTTTCCCTCCCGGGAACCAAGTGGGTATGTATTTTCATCTTACCACAGAAGTGGTTAGTAGACCTCAGATGAATTCAGTTTCATAGATATTACCTGGTTAGTTGATGACATGTTCTTATCTTGCAATTTCAGTGCTGTAGCTCTCTGACCACTGCAGACTTGATATCAATAATAACTGTTATGGTGATTGGAACCCTGATTGTCTAAACATTTTGTCACAAGTTTTATTTCATGTATACTAATATGACCATCAGCATTTATAAAATTAGACACTTGAAAATTGTCTGCAGGACTGAGCCCTTTTTCTTTGTGCTAAAAAGAGCAACCTAGTTATTTTGCTGTTGTGATTTATTAGAACAAGAGCATAGTAAAGACAAATAATGTGATACTGACCTGATCAATAATAATGGATGAATGATTAAAACTCCTTGTGTTGGAAAGTGCATTTTCATTTAGCAACTGAAGACATGTTTAACTAACTGATATTAATGGTGGTGTGACGGGCAGTATCCTGATTTTAATGAAGAGGTGTTGATTCAAATGTAAATACTGATCCCTGACTAAAACGTGGGGTATGAAAGATTATGTTTCCTTTTTAGGCACTTAGGAAGTTACATAAACTTCTAAAATTTCAGAGCTATCTATGTCATCCATTTCTAAGCAGAAATCTCTGCTGACAGGATTTCTGCTTTCAAACTGTGGAAATAATATAGTCAATAAGGAAAATTACTGCTTCTGAATGATTTCTCTTATTTGTATACCTCAATATTTCAAATATACATTGATCATGAGGACTCTGGTTGCCACTTTGAAAAAATGTACTAATTGCTCTGTTTTAAAATGTAGTGGGAGTTCCTCACGGCATATGTTTTTAAAGACTGTAGCATACATCCTAGATGCATAATTAAATAATCAACTCATATTTTAAATGTTGTGATTGAAAGTTTTAAATTTTGAGACTTAAATTAGACAACTAAATCCATATATCAGCATATGTTGTAATCCTGTAAACATTAGTCATGTGATTTATGCATAGAAATCCTCCCTTTTAATTTGATGGACCTACTCAGATGAATTAAATCAATTATGTGGATAAGTGTTAATGGGAATTCTATAGGTGTCGGTCACCTTAAACTCTGTGGAAGTGGAAAGTGTTTGCAATTCTGAAAACCAGCTATTCAGTGCCTACACATGGATTTAGATGCCTGACTTTTAGCTCCCTCATTTAAACCCTTTTATTTAAGCTTTTTCTTACAGTTATGATAATACAGTTGTTTGAATGAATCATATGTATTATGTCTTTTATTATGTGAGAGAAAGATGAAATCTTTCTAACTTCAGGTTCTCTGACTTTTCTTAGTTTGTATTAATGTTATTTAAAATAGTTTCTTGTATGTAGCATTGCGGGAAATACTATTAAATTCTTTAAAATGGACTAGATGTAACTCATTTTTAAATTTTTTTTCAATAATGGTTATTTATTTTTTGTACAGATGTAGATGCATTTTTTTTTTATTCTGATAGAACTGCCATCTGAATCAACTAAGCTGCCATTTCAAGCACTTTTCTCATTAGAGTTACTGGATTTTAAGGTTGTTTTTAAACAAATTGCAAGATTTTTAAAAATTAAAATTTCTTGAGATACTTGTGATCTGTGCTTATCTGATGCGTGAGGGCGTTATAGTATTTAGCCATGGCAGTATCCTTAGTGTGTTAAATATTTTCCCAGTAAATATACAACCACTGTTGGTACAGTCTGCTGACAAATGGGTGAGTGTTTAGGTTGCAGAATTGGGGAAGAAATGTTAAATGGGACAAATTCAGTGAAATTTGAAAAGGGGAAATACGTTGACGGACTGGAATAATCTGGGCATGGAAACAATAAGTGATGGAAAAGTGCAATGGGTAAATTTGGTACTTCAAGAGGAGGAAAGTTCATTGCATGGTTGAGAGAGCAAAATCCATATTGTGGGAAAGAAAGAGGTGCAAACTTTCCCACAGCATTCATTATGAGAGGCAGGAGCAAACAGAAGGAAGTTATTTGGAGAAAAGAATAAAAAGGCACAGCCAGACTTGTTTTTCAGGAAGGGAAGAAAAATGTAACTCGTGTTGAAAGGAGTTGGGGAAGAGGTGGAAAAAGAGATACTTCGGGGAATGGTGGAAGTGAGAAAAAAATGAATGCTCTCAGTAAGATGTGGTTAAAGAGGAGTTTGAGTGGGGAAAGAAGTATGACATTGATAAAGCAGAGAAAACCTTGACATCTGGAAGAGCAAGGAGTAAATACCTACGATGTGAAAAGGGGTTTGATTCCTATGTGGAAGGGGCATTTTAAAAACTTAAAGGGTTTGCTAACTCTGCTACCTATTGTTATGAAGGTAAAAAGCTCTTACCACCAAGTTTCGGGGGCAATTTTATTCCACTACATGAGGATAATATGGGGGAAGGCACGAAAGAGTTCTTGGACACCAGAGAATCTGTCATCTGCTCAAAAGCTGTACTCCCTAAACCAATTTTAACTCTAGTCAAGTCAACCTCTCCACAGTATTCCACCAACTTGATTTTTTAAACGTATCCCAGTAATAGTCAATTACTTCATGTATGTGTCTGTAAGAAATGTTACCAAAAATTCTATTAGAGACAAATTGTGTGCTTTTTGTACTGCTCAAAGCATACAGCTGAAAGGGACATCCTGAGATATTATTCTGTCTCTTGTTATCAAAGCAGCCATATTTTATAATCTTGCAGATAAAATGATCACTCTTCATGTTAAAACTCATTAAGTGTTTTCCTCCCCTCCACCTGCTAGAAGATTCTTTCACACCTCCCCTTATAATTTCTAGCCTAATTAGGGCTATGGCTGATCACATCTATTTGCTTTTGTGTCAGCATGTAGCATTTTTTTGTTTGACTCTTGCTCATATTGGCTCATTCACCCTCATTTAAGCTGCAGGTCATCTTAAAGCTCCTCCTGCAACTTCTTGTACCATTTTCATTCTGCTGATGAGCTAGACCAGCCAGAAGCTCCAGCTGCTTTGCCTTTATGAGTTACTATCTGTTACCTGATGCTGAGTAACTGCTGGAGTGCTCTTGCTTGGCCATACTTACTGCCTACTCTTTTTTTCTCTACTTCAGAAATATCTCTAGGGTAAATAGAAGTAGGGGCAAGTTATTTGAAATGTGTATCAGTTGCCATTCTGAAGGGTTTTGTGACCATCTCAATTGTTCTGTGAGCATGCACGAAAGGGGACAATTTCATTTGTTAAACTACAACTAAATGCAGCTTTAAAATTTGGAGTCAGAAGCATTTCATACCATAGGTGTTTTATTTTCTTCTTCTGTGTAATGCTTTGAAATGATCTTTGATCTAGTGAGTTACTGAATGACTCCAGCTTATTTTTAGAGTGATTATATAGCCAGGGTAGTTCCACGGCTTTATTATGCTGTTTGATATAGGGGAGTATTCTTCTTTTAATGTATTTAGATCAATATTTTGAGTTTTATAGCATCACTGTACATCTTGCCTTAATCTGGGATGTTTAAATTTGCAATATCCTCTTCCACTACCGTGTTTAACATATTAATTTCATTGGGGCTTTTAGAATGCTGAGGAGAAACTGGCGAGCAGCAAATTAATTTCACTTCTTTTTACAATTTGCCAACTAAATTTGACTTTTCTTATACAAAGATTAAAACAGCATGAGGATTAAGGCTTTATAAATGCAGAATAGTTTGCAGAATCAGGACTCAAAATAAGACCTGTCATCGTTTTAATGGATTTGCTATTTCACTTCAGTTCTGAGCATCACGAAAAGCTTTCTTAAACCCAAGAATAACCCAGAATACACACATCGGGAAACAGTAGTACAAGCAGTCTGTAATGAAGTGTGATTGAAATTCCTTATTATTATTATAATGGTGAAATTGCTATTGCAGAGGAGATAGTCTCTTTAGAGGTGCAGAAAATGGCAATAGAATATGGTAATTGAATTATAACCCACTTTAAAGAGTAAGACGATGTTCGGAAACAGTACCGAAGGTATGGGAAGCAATGTGAAGTCTCTTAGTAGGATTTTTCTTTTCTTTTTGGCTAGGTTTTCTGTTTTCTAGGTTTACATGGTTTTAATTGTGTTCTCCAATCCATTCCTAATCAAGTCAGTCTGTTGTTCAGTTATCTTTTGGATTATCATTTTCCCATACATACTCAAAGTTAAAAAGTCAGCTTTCTGTATATAAGGGTGGGGAGGAAGAACTACTAAAGAGGTGTGTTTTGTCATTAAAGCCTCATTCTGATAGCTGTAAAGGAAAGTCTTTCTGTTAAAGTCAATGAAAATCATGCATGCTGTGCATGGATACTCTAGGGAATCTAGTATTAACAAAACATGTTATGAATTTAATTCACGATTAAAGCTAAGAACCAACATGTTCAGTAAATATACACGATGATTGCCATATTCTGGGTGGGTACCCAAGAGCAGCAGTGTACCCCTTAGTCATTCAGCGTTGGCAGGGCTGGATGGGCTTTACTTTCTCTGCAGCTAAAAATTTAATTTGATTTCAAGTCCTGCTAGTTGTTTATTTAATATGCAGGATAGTTAA